CGTTTCCAAAGTGAGGATTAACAGGTGAATCTTTTTGTCTGTGACTAAATCTTGCACAAAGCTGCTTTATGGCAACTGCACAAGCCACCGAGCCACAAACTTTTTGTTAAGGTTTCTCATCTTACTACAAATCTTCAGTTGTTTATTGTATATATTACAGGAACAAATTGTTCTTGTATAAATCTCACCAAAGCTCAACCCCTCCCCCCCAAAAAAAGCATAACCACAGCAGCTCTTACCTAATTCGAGCCTTCTTATTGGGGATAAAAACTAGAAATAATGAACCTCATCACCCCTCTTGCTTGCACTTGATTCGCTTCGGGCAGTCAGAGCTACAAGGTGGCCCTTCAATCACCTAACTGTGGGGTCACTGCACAAAAACCAGCAGAATAAAGCCTTCGACTGTGTTTATGATCCCTGACTGAAGGGAGCTGGCTCACTGCTGCAGATGTGACTTGATAACAAAAAAATGTATGACTTATGTTAGCTGAAGGATATCAAACAAAGTGAAAAATGGACACTATGTCCAAAACGCAAGTGTTATTGTAAGCTGATTTTTGCAATTCAAAACCAAAGCATGATCTCTGATAAAAAGCAATAAACTTCATTTATCAATATTCCAAAGCCTCTGTTTTATAAAGATCAACACTACATTACCAGAGAAACATGCCTGACACATGTTTTCAGACTAAACCATGTACTTCACTGCTGAAAAGTGTTTTTTCCGGATGTTTCTTTGCCAGCCTCATGTCAAAATCCTTTTCTGCAAAAGACTTGTGATTACTTATCACCCCTCAGCTCATCTGTTTTCACTTATGTTGCTGTGATGTTACATTAATGGTTTGTGGAATTCATTCAAGCCAGAAGCTTTTATGTCTTGTAAATTAAATTTGATTGGGTTGAATTTTTCTGTCTCTTAATGCTGCTGCATGCACAAATGTGAGATTTCTGGCCACTTAGTGACCACTCCTTCACACTAAAAGTTCACATAGTATTTGTGTTTTGCATGTAAGTCAGAGTTGGTTCGTGTTATGTCTGGTAATTAAAAAAAAAAAACTCAAACAGTTTGACAGGCTTCCAATTTTAAACTGTGTGTAAACTCGAAACAGCAGAGACAGTGAACGGCACTCACCATTGCATTTAAAGCCCATCTCCTTGCCGCATCTCTTAGAGCAGCCATCGCCATCCAACAGATTACTGTCATCACATTCTTCCGTCCTACAGAGGGATTATCAATCATCATTATCAATGCCCTGTGTAATTAATCACCAATGTTATCAGCATGTTAATGTGCAACATACCCCTGTATGAGGCCATCGCCACAGTAAGGCTGTCCATGTGTGTAGAGAAGCGGTGGCGAAGCATCACTGAGCTGACCATCAGCTTCCACCTGGATTGTGTATTTGTACTTAACTCCCTGTGTAACAAACCTGAGAAGAACAAGAACAGAGACAAGAAACTGTTGTGTAATGTTTCCTTTGGCATTATAAAACTATAACAGAAGATTGTTCCAGCCTTCAAAGGAGCACTTACCCACATTTTTACTGCATTGTGTTATGAACTGATCATATAATGTTTATAGGCTTGATTATAAATGGCTTTGAGTCAGTCGATACTTAATAAAATAAGAATTTTGTGCACAATGGTGCCAGTTTGCTGTACTTTTTAAAAAAGAAATACTGTTGTGCAATGTAGGAAGGAAGCGTTGTATTTATTATGTTTCCAAACAGATTCATTATGGTGGAATTTGCTCTCCCTGTAACCTTGTATTATCCAGTGACCTTAAAGCCTCGTAGCAGGAAGTATGTGTAACAACACCACGGCTAATGTGTCTGGACTATTGATCTGTTTTGGTGCGCTGAGGCTATAAAAAGACCATCCTCCCTGTTTTCTTAGCACAAATAAACTGCCCCTGCATCCACCTGGGGTAGACCACGAGTATCACACAACTGCATTATCTAAGGTGTGTCCAATTTCACCAGACTCTAGAAATCTCCTTTATTAATTATGTATAAGTGAAGGAAATGAAGGTTGTGAAAAACGTCCTCATTTCCTGTTGATCTAAACTGTATCTATAGTCAGCTATATCGTCCACCCTTCTGCCACAACTCCTGTCTCTTCTTTGTTCTTAGAGGCCTGACATTACCTGATGATATACATCAATCGGGCATAACATCATGACCATCTGCCCAATAATGTGTTGGTCCCACCTTTTTCTGTCAAAACAGTCCCGTCCCACTGAGGCATGGAGTCCTCTAGACCCCTAAATGTGTGCTGTGGTATCTGCACCAAGATGTTCCCAACAGATCCTTTAAGTCATTGCAAGGTGGGGCCTTCATGGATTGGACTTGTTTGTCCAGCATGTCCCACAGATTCTTGAACGAAGACCATGACAACACTTCAAACTCATTATCGTACTCCTCAATCCATTTCTGAACCATTTTTCTTTGTGCCAGTGTGCATTGCACTGCTTCCTCCAGCTTGCCTTCTTGCCCGACTACAATAAGTCGGCAAGCCACATGATGTGAAAAAGGACATAATCATCACACCAGGCCACCTTTTTCCATTGCTTTGTGGTCTAGTTCTGATGCTCATGGGCCCCATTGTTCTGGTTGTATTGGTCAGCATGGGCACCATAACAGGTCTGTAGGTATGCAACGACATACACAATAAACTGCGATGCACTGTGTATTCTGACATCTTTCTATCAGAATGAGCAATTTTTCGGCATTTTGAGCTTCGGTAGTTTGTCTGTTGGATCAGATCAGCCTTCACCCCCCAAGTGCATCAGTGATCCCTGACCCTGTCGCTGATTCCCTGCTGTTTTTTTTCCTGAACCACTTTTGATGGATACTGATCACTGCAGACTGCAGCTACTGATTGGAAGGTTGGTGGTTCGATCCCTGGCTCTCCCTGGTCTACATGCCAAAGATACTAACCCCAAGTTGCTCTCTGATGCATCCATTGGAGTATGAATGCGTGTGAATGTCAGATAGTAAGCACTTTAAAAGCATAGAAAACAGTCCTTGTGTGAATAGGTGTGAATGGGTGAATGTGGCATGTTGTATTAAGCACTTTGAGTACTCCAAAGTCCATTTACCATTTACAGGAGCTTTGGAGATGCTTTGACTCCATCATCTAGCCATCACAAATTGGTCCTTGTCAAACTTCTCAAATTCTCACACTTGCACATTTTCCTGCCTTTAATACATCAAATTTAAGGACATAATGTTCACTTGCTCCCTAACATATCCTACAAACTAACAGGTGCCAGGATGATAAGATAATCAGTGTTCTCTCTAGTAAACAACAAGTAAAAATTCATTCACCA